CACAGCTAAGAATTGTAACTAACCACTATGTGCAGTCTTTCATGACAGATTATCTGTGTGTTGTTTGCAATGTCAATCCTACAAATGGTTGGTCAGTTGGGTCTCACCAAGAGATATGGTGAAGACAAAAGTCAGGAGTCCCACTGGTGCTATGATGCATGGCTAAGCTTTGAGGTAGTCAGTCGGTAGTGTGGGATGAGAGCTGCTGAAATTAAGCAGCTTTCTAATCTAGCACAGCTTGCTATTTTCATCACTTGTGTCACGTACTGCACTGTGTAGATTTAAATAAAAATTTAAAGACTGGTTCTGGAGGATAGAGGAGATGTGTTTGTCACAGAAAAGGAAGACCGGGCTGAATGGAAGTACCAGGATATGGGTCCCAATATGGAAAATATAGTGAAGGTGAGGATGAAGGACTCCTGCACTGCTTTTGTCTGATGTCTGTGTGTGTGACCTTGATTAGAGCCTCTTTCTCTTCATGTCTCTCCTTTTCTCCATGACATTGCTTTGCTGGGTGCTCTCTGCAGTAGAGGAAGTGTTGTGGGAAGTAAATTCTTATAGCAAAATAAGAATGTAGCAGTCCATGGCAGCTGCACACACTAGCAGTACAATGCTGGCAGCTCACCACCCACAGAGATGGCTGTTGTCAGCTGTACATGGCTACATGGAGGACAAGGCTGCTTGTGAGTCAGAAAGCAGATTATGAGAGAGCTCCCTAGCTCTGACAACCTTTCAAAAACATGCCAGCATTTGAGATTTTATCAGGTTATGCTATTCACTGTTACCAAATTGCAGTGGGCATGTGTCTTGCATAGTAGTGCTGTTCTGTGATGTCTAGGATTCTCAATTATTGCCTGAACAATTTTCATTTCATTGTGTGAACAGACCTCACACAATGTTCCCCTGTTTTGCAGATCTTGGCTTGTCTTTAAGCTTGTCACTGATTTCTGTGCATGAGTCCACTTCAACAGGATCCTTTCTTTGCCTTTCATCCATACTGGATTGAGCAGCCTCATGACAACATTGCCAGTTTCTAATTTAGGGAAATTGGTTTTTTTTCTGTATTTATCCCATGAACAAAAAGCTTCAAAGTGCATCTCTGCTATCCTGGCTTCATCACTGGTGAAAGAAACATCTTTGCCTTCTCGAGGCATCTGAATTTGATGGGAACCTGCAGCAATCTGACAGCATTGCAAGGGCCAAGTAACACTTGCTGAGCTCTGCCCAAGCAGGACAGCACAATGGCAGTGAAAGAGAGACTGTGGTCTCTCCACTGAGGTCTTCAGCTCTTGTAATGAAAAGTTCTCGTTTAGTTTTACCCTTTCTCAAGGCTAAAAGTGAAACAGACTTAAACCAAGCAGACCATAATGCTAAACTGTGAGAAGGCTCTTCTCACTCACCTAGCAGGATAAGCATCTCCATTCTGGTTATTTCCAGTAAAACTAAGAGAACAAGAGGTTATTGGGACACAAAGCAACACTCCTTGGTGCTTGACATTTCACTGTTGTTCTTCCCTTACCACTGCCCTTCATCACTGTGAACAATGGTAGCTTACCAGCCCTTTGGTGCAGGGCATCTGCTCTGGCTCACAGCAAGGAGCTGCCTGCAGCTCAGCTTTTCTTTAGGGTGCCTGGCACACTGGAGTAGGTTGCCTGTGTTTGGCTCATTGGAATTGCTCCTAACTAGCTAATTCTGCTGCAAAGGCAGACTGCCCTGCCTTGTGTTGTGAAGCAGTGGCATCTTAACAAGGTTGGTGGAGGGCCCTCACTTCAACACTGCCTCTTTAGCCCTTCTATCACTGCTGGTGCCAGCAAGCTCTTCTAGAGTTAAGCTGTGTGCTGAGAGAGAACAGTAATTGTCTGGATTTGTTTGCTGTGTTTCTTGCCAGCGTATCCTGAAGCTCTCTATGTGCACAGAGGTTTTTTTTACCTTCTGGAAGCCTAGCAACTTGCTGCCTGCAATGTGGAGGCTGCTTAAAAGAGCACTTCTGATACAGGTGCTGGATTTCAAGGGAGATACAGGAAGGCATTTGAGGAGCCTTTGGAACTGTGCTAAAAATTCACCTTTGGAACTGGGCTAAAAACTTAAAGAGCATTGTAGCAGCATAGAAAGCCAGAATAGCCAAACACAACTTCCTTATAGCAAGCAGAAAAGGTGCTTCCTTGTCAGTGTAAGAAGCACCATGAAAATCATTATCCTTTTTGCAGCTCCCTAAAGGTCTAAGTGCAGGGCTTATATCACAGGTCTCTCCTCCAAGACAGCCCCCATGTCAGGTGTGCTGGAGCTGTTCAGTTCCTAGTTCTGGGAAGCAGCAGCACCAGCTCATTTCAACAAGCTTTCTTTTGCCTTTAAGCCAGAGAGAAAGAACAGAAGCAAAAAAGCTGTGTTGTTAGTGGTGAGGTCTGAATCCCTGCCTTTGTGGTGAGTCTGCCTTTTGTGTGTAATCCCTTGAACAAGTGTGAACTCCCCAGTAGGCATTGGAGGCCAGAGCTGATGTCTGGCTTTGTAATTGCTGTTGACCTTCCTTTGTTTTCATATCCATTGGGAACCTTGGGGAATAACTGACCCTGGTGCAGTTCTCTATCCTTTTTAGTGATGGGATAACATGCTTCTCTCTCCAGAAAACCCAGGAGCTCCAGGACTACCTACAGAGTTAATACTCATTGGGTGTTTTCTAGTGTCAGAGACAAGAGGAGAAAATACAATCAATTTTTAATTGATATACACTTTTAAACATTCCCTTTGCAAGATAGTAACATAGCCCTGGAGCCTGTTCCAGTGCAAATCAAGTAAATCACATTTTTCAGCTGAAGAATATTAAATACCTTCTGCATCCTTGGCTGCCCTACTCTTCCAGTGACCTAAGGAAGCCTCTGGAACATCCTAGCCCTGTTCCTCTGTGACCCTTTACTAGCCCCAGATGCTCCTGCAGTGGGGCCCAGGAGAGCAGTTTCCTTGCAGCACATGTCCTTGCTGGTGGCACTTGGTCCAGTTTCAGACCTTTTCCTCTGTCCCAGCCCCATACCTGGCACAGTTAGATTCAGTGAGGGAAGCTGCTTTCAGACTCCTCTCTCTCCTTCTCAGGAAACAGACTGCTCTGAGTATATCTGAAGTGGCTGTGCCATATTTTCGAGCTTTCTTTTTTTCTTCTCTCCCCTTTTTCTCTTTCTTTTCCCTATATCACCAGATGGCCTAGATTATAATGTGAGACCCCACTGGCTTCAATTAAGGATCAGATGTGACTGAAGAAATGTGATAGCAGCTAGGGATGGAGATGGTACACGCATGGCACTAGGTCTAATCAAACAACTTCTCACATTATTCTCACTGTGAGGTGGGAGACGTGTGAGCCAAAGGCAAGTCAGCACTTGAAGCACTCGCAGAGACACATCCCCAGGAAAGCCATCCATAATGAAATGACCATGCCACTCAGCACGGCAGCCTCAGTTCAGGCAAGGGGTGCTTTCACTCCACCTAAGTGCAGCAAAGGGCCCAAAGACTTAGAGAACAAGGTACCTTGAAAATAATCAGCCACATCAAACAAAGGCTGCCAAGTGGAGTGGATGATTGGGATGATTTTACACAGGATACCCACAGATTCATTTGTGCCTCCTGGAGATGGGACACTGCATGCCCACATATGGGACAGTGCATGCAGCACCTTCATCTGTGGTGAAGATAGAGATGTCACTAGTGTCACAGAGCTGTTTGGTCTTGCTGGAGTCAGGCTATGGGAGGAGAATGGTGTGCCGAAGCCCTTCCCAGCATAGCTCTGTTCAGGGCAGCAGGGATGCAGAGTGACCCATGGTTGTTGGTGGACCTGTGCCTGTGGCACTGCAGATGCTGGGTGCTGCAGGGTTTTGGGCCTGGTTGTGCTTGGCAACTCTATGGACCTTCAGAGGAGGCAGATGATCTGTTGATCTGTAGGGCATGGAAACTGTGGAAGAGCACTTGCTTTGAACCTGGAGAAGGTCAGTTGTGATTGTGCTGAAACTGCTATAAATCAGTTCTCCCTCTTACATTCAGGCTAACTGCTGTTTTGTGTTCAGGAAGCTTTTCTCATTTTAGATGGAAAGCTTCTGTTTATCCCCACGCTGTAATGTTTTAATTAAGAATTTATTGCAAGTGAAACATGTCTATCAGAGACAGTGGGGATTTAAGTCCTCTTTCATTGCATTAAATAAGGAGTACCAAACAGTACCAATCTGACTTTCTCCTTGCTGTGCCTCAACCATGCCCCCCAAATCATGAGGTTCCCATAAATTTTTACAAGTGCTAAAGAACTGCAAAAAGCAGTCTCCCTTTGCTAAGGAGGTGAGCACACATCACCATTCCCATTCTCACACTACTGGCAGAGATGCTGACATGGATAGATGTGACTCACCTCCCAACATCAGGGAATTGTTGCTAGAGATAAAAATAGGACCCAGAGTCCCTGTAGTCATTCTGTGATGTGATGTGTTGTATTGATGTATTTGGGAGGGGCCCTCCAAAACCCTTTCAGGTCTGTGGGGAGAGCCAGTGCAGATCCCTCCATCTAAACACGGTGTTCTTGATAACCCTGTCAAACATTGACAAGAAGAAATGACTGCTTGGGAACTTACCTGCCTGTTCAGGGAGTGGATTTTATGCTATGTAATAGGACCGGTCATTCTGATTAGATCTGAGGATTGAATCCAAGCTGTGATACAGCTGCTGGTGTTGCACTTCTCACATGAGAGAGCAGAGCTTGGTAGCTCCTCCAAGCAGTGCTCAGTGTGGTATGAGTGCTTGCTAAAGGTTATGCCTACCTCATAAAAGTGGGAGAGAGGTAGAATGTGGCCCCAGCCCAGTCAGAAGTAAATGTCAGACGACTGTTGCTTTTGGTGTGATTGGATCCTGGCTTCAACCCCTTGGAAATCATAGGTACCTGTCTTGTCAGAGGTGGTCGGGGTGACCATGCTGGGTGAGGAAGCTGCTCCCTGATGGCATCCCTGTCTGTTGCTCTGTTGGGTCTCCAGTCCCCCCCGTGGTGGAGCCAGCCTTCCAGGATGTGCGGCAGGGCACGGGGCACAGCGTCACCCTGCGCTGCACCATGCTCAAGGGCAGTCCCATGAAGGTGGCCACCTCCATCTGGCGCTTCAACGGGAGCCTCCTGGCACAGCCCCTGGCAGAGCAGCAGGACTACTCAGAGCTCAAGGTGGACAGCGTCAGCCGGGAGACCAGTGGCAGCTACGAGTGCAGCATTTCCAACGACGTAGGGGTCTCCACCTGCCTCTTCCAGGTGTCTGGTAAGTCACAGAATGCACATCAGAGCAAGCTGTTGGATGGGGTCATGGGAAGCTTGCTCCTCATAAACTGGTGCCACTACAGTGCCTCTATTGTTTCTTCTATGCCCAGCACTATGTTCAGGAGGAATAATTTTCCATAAGCCAGCAGGGAGATCTGTCTCCATTGTTCAGGCAGATGGAGGTGGAGCTGGCTAAGTGCTAGCCCCTGTTAGATTTTAGCAGTGTTTGACCACTTGCAGGACTTAAACTCAAGGCCACAATCAGCTTTCAAGATTGGACAACCTGTATCATCAATAAGTATTGACCAAGGGGAAGTGAAAAGCTCTGTACATCCCTCCAACAGGATCCAAAAGGTGTGATTTCCTCTTTAAAAGCAAATGTATAAAGAAAGAAAAACTGTGTTATGTATTCCTGTGCCTCCTCTATGACTCCTGTCTGTCTGTCTCACAGCGCTTTCTAGAAAAAACATGAGCTGGGAATGGTTGCTAGTACACGATTTGCTGCTCACAGTTTTATTTGAATCCATTATCCACTGTAACAGGCCTTCTCTGCAGCACCTGCAACTGCACAGAGGAATGGCAGACTTATTGCATCTAAAAGTGCACATCTGACCTGGCTTCTCCAGCTGATCATTAAATCTGCTTTTCCCATGACCCCAGAACTGACTTGGGCACAATTTTCAGGAAAAGCTTCCCCATGAAGTTGCCTTAATAAGCAATAATTTCAGTCCAGGTTTGAGTCCAGGGCCAATTTGTAATAGTTTTCAAGCCTGGATTTAAAAAAATGAGAATGAGTAACATCCAGAGAGACCTGATTTTGAAGCAGGCCTTTCCTAGGTTTTGGGAAAGCTCAAGTATGCTGTAACTCTGGGATGCTTACAGAAATGGGGGAACCCAAACTACTTCTACTATTTGGGTCCCTTTTCAAGACCTTGTCTCACCCCTTGAGGTTTCCTGGCTTCTGTCTTGCAGTGAATTTTGCTTGAAAGCTTTGGCCCTCTTTACCCTCTCTACCCTTTTCATATGCTTGTAACTCTCACATCATTAAGTGATAGCAAACCATATCCCTCTATGAGCCATCACAGAAAACTGCATCCCTGTCAAGCCTGGGAATGCTCCCCGGAATTTCTTGCTGGTGGCAGCAACAAATATATATTGGCACCTGGTGTGCCATGCTGTGCCTGAGATAAGATCCCCTCAGCAGAAAGTAGGATTCATGCCTAGAGAGCACTGATCAGGAAAGCAGCAAGCCTTTATTTTTCCTGCATCCCTTCTCCTTTTCCAAGACACTGATTGTAGCTGTTCAACTCCAGACATCTCTGCCTGTGTCCTGGACAGTTACAAATTAATTAGACCTTCTGAGCCTCTAGAGCAACCTGAAAAATATTCCTGTGACTTGACTGCTCTACTTGGACTCAGGATTGCTGGAGTTTTAATTCCCATCAGCCACAGCCTTCCTATCTGAGCAGAGAAAGTGGCATGGTATTTTTTTTTTTTTTCCCTGCTTCTTCACTGTGGAAAAAAATACCATAAACCTTCTTATACAACAGAAAGTGACTAATTTTTGACTATGGGCTGTTCAGGTGCACTGAAAATACAGTACATGTATCTGACCAGGATTGGATCATTTTCTTCTATGGATGAGTGATTAGCTTTCCAAAATGTTTTGGAAGGATAGTGAAACATCCAACCCATTCTTCTTGAGGAAGTTATCAGGGCAGCCCATCCTGTTCATCACCTGCTCCCTCAATAGCCATAAGGTGAAAGAGAGACAGGGATAATCTTCAGCTCTTCCCATCAGCTGAAAGCAAAAGACAGAACTTTCCAGCAGTAGTAAAAGCTTCCAGAAGGAAGTTCTGAAAGTTTTTTGATATGCAGCATTTCTATCAAAAAGCACTTGTTTTTTCTAGCTTCTATCTTGGACTCAATTAATAATGCATTGATATAATGCAAGATGATGATTATCATGAGTTCTGATTTTATTTTGAAATCCATTATAAAGCTTAACTTCCATAGTCAATACAAGTTGAATAAGCAGCAATTAGTCTCGAGGTGGTTCTGAACTTCTTGCTCATGCTAAAATTTAAGTCAATAAAAATAGTAAGAGAAAAAGGACTTGGAAATAAATATCAATATTATACATTTGAGTTCATAAAAAATAAACATTGAATCCTGTCAAGCCTAATTATAACCACACGGAATGGCAGGGCTGGTGATTCAAGTGGAAAGGTGCAGAAGACATCCTGAGGAGATGGTGTTTATTCCTGCTCTCCAGCATCCCTTGCTGGCCAGGCATCTTTCTGGTATCTGCTGGTTCAGACTGGACCTGAACTCTTGAGCTTTCATTCAGGTCCAACTCCTGCCTAGCTTAGGACAGAACTTGCCAAAAATTGAAGTTCAGTGGGTGAAATGATCATAATTTCAAATAGAGCAAAACAAGTTGTGGGTAAGACCTCGTTGCCTGTGCTCCCTGTGCATTAGTCCTCCAGCTGCTGGGCTGCATGGCAGGAGCCTTTAAATTCTGTTGGTCGTGATTCAGGACAGAAACTGCTGGGGAAATGAAAGTTAATCCCTTGTTCTCTGAACTGTTCATTTTCTCTAGTACATTTTTCCCTTCTGTATTTCCCTTCTCCTGCTGCACTTTGTTTTTAAGGAGAGATGTGGGTTTGAAAAAGACATCTCCACCCCTGCCAAAGCTCCCACTGCTTTTACCCGGGCTGAGGTCAGTGTCCTCTTTGCTGCCGAGTTGACTGTTGTGTTACAAAGAGGCTGGAGCACTGTGTTGCCAAGGCAGGGGAGATGCAGAAGGAGAAAGGTCTCCTTTTTAGTGCCGTGGTCTCTGTGTGATAAATAACACTTCTCCTATGACCTACTGGCCAAATGATCTTTCCTTATGGTTTGTTAGCAGGAGTCTCTGTAAAGCAGCAGATGAAACAGGAGAAATGCCAGTTTAAAGCTGTTACTTCAATCTAAACTACAAAGCAAGAGAGAAAAGATTAGAGCTGGTTCCAGTCTGAGAACTGAAGTTGTTCCCACCTTCTCAGATGCTGGTTATGTCTCACTGGTGTTGCAGGGCTGCTAATCCTCCCAACAATTTAGGCTGTGAAAGCAGTAGTGATTCACAGAAAATAGTGGCACATTTGTGCAAAGTAAAGTTGTCCATTTTGTTAGAGGCAGGTCGATAAACTGGGTGAATGGAGCTCTTCTACTCTCACCACGTCTCTTTGTAATTTTTGTTCCACTTGATCCCATTCTTTTACTTTCCTCCCTCTTTCTTCTTTTTTTCCCCTCCAGCAAAAGCTTATAGCCCAGAGTTTTACTATGACACTCCCAGCCCCACCTTGAGCCAGAAGCAATCCAAGAATTACTCTTACATCTTGCAGTGGACCCAGAAGGAGCCTGATGCTGTGGATCCCATCCTTAAGTACCGCCTGGAAGTCCGGCAGGTAAGGTCTGCTCTCCTGGAGCCCCAGCATATGGCCTTTCAAGAGGCAATTACATCAATGTTTCCTTGCTGATTAAGAGCTGCAAGTGATGAAATTGGCAGATCCTGAGGCTCTTGCACTTTCCCCACTGAATGGAAGAGACAGGCCAAGTGCACAACTCGGTGTTCACTTTGGGGCTCTGGGGCTGGGTACAGTCAAGGTCTTTCAAAGCCCTGCAGCCCCCATTGGGCTGTTCATGCTCAGTGTTTGGAATGGGGTTTTAGTGAGAACAATGCCTTATAGTCAGTAGTTGGTGGTGTAGATTTTGTAGGCCAAAGATTCAAACGAGTGGAATTCCATCCTCCTCACTCGTATGAAAAAAGGGAATAAGCTGAAGAGCTCTCCAGGCAGGAACTGAAGGAAAAAGTCGATGTCTGTTTGTGTTGCAGAAGGGCTTTCATCCTATCACACTAACTAAGCTATTTGGACTGTATGAACTCTGCAGGTGAAGTGAAGTGGGTTTCAAGGTTTGTGAGTTTGAAGGAAAAATCATACTGGGGGCTGGGGGCTGGGGGTAGAGAACTGAGTGAAATCTGAAGACATCACTGGTTGCAGAAGGTTAGGGAAAAGAGTTTGATGTTTTTAAAGAGCACATTATCTTAGCAGGATTGCAAGGTGCTTTCATCCACGCCCAGCAAAACACCCGCATTCAACATTTTTTGAAAAATGGGGACACATAAACTTGGTTCGTGTCATTCAGTGGTGGCTGAGAAGCAAATGAATTTTTCAAGGAAAATTTTGTTTACTGTAGATAGAAAACAAAATAATTAAAAAGATTCAAGTGTCTCTTTCCTCTAGTTCTGCACAGTAGGTTCCAGTTTTATGTCTCCATTTGATTGTGAGCTCTCTGGGGTTGGACAGCCTTTGTTTGTTACTCACACCGTATGGAGCACATTGTCAGTACTTAATAATAATACAGGACCTGGGGGAGCCTCTAATAATGAAGGCAGTTTGTCAGAGTAGATCTTCCCTCTGAGCCAAGTTTTGCTATTATCAGCACTGCAACTCAATGAACAAATGTGTGGGTTTTATCTTTCTCCAATACATTGAGTTTTTTTCCTTTTTGTACAGTGTCTAAAAGTAATCTTGGTTCTATCCTTCATTGAGCTCCTACTAAAAGGGATCAAGAAAAGGGAAAATCACTTTTCTACTTTAAGTTACGACATGGAGGGGCCTGTGTGCCATGCAAATTTAAACACATACCCAGTTTGGTTCATAACCCATTGGTTACTGCTGTTACTGTTTTGCAGCATCACAACATAGCTGTGACTATTGAGTGTTGTGTTTTAGAGGAGCATGATACTGAGACCCTGCTGTAGCTCAGTCATATGTATGGGAAAGCTCTTAGAAATGGCTACAGGCATCATCATGGTGGCCTGGGACTGAATAAGGAAAGGCAGAGAGACGAGGAGAGAGGGAAGCTTTGTTCCCACTTCTGTCAAGCACAAGAAGGAAACCCTTTGTTTTGATGCTGCTGTAAAAAATGAGCCCTGCCCCGGCTGAAACTAAGACACATTGGAAAAGGTTTTCATGGTATTGCCTCCTCCTGGCTTTTGTCCAATGAAAACACTTGCATTTCATGGTGAGGTCTCCACCTCCATGAGCCATATTGAGGTCTTATGGAGCCCTTTTCATTTCCTTGTCCCAGAGGATCACATCCCCTCTCACATCCAGCCTGCTGTTTCCCTCTGTTCATGTGCTGCCTTCCCAGTATTTTCGCTGTGATGTCTCACTTGGCTCCAAGCAGCCTTGTGACACCTTCTGACCTTTCTCTCCTTCCCTGGCTCCATCACCCTCTCCCATGTCCTGCAGATTCTGCTGCTTTATTGCACCTTCTGTTCTGTGCTGGGGCCCCTGGACTATGCTGTGCATCCTTCTGTTCCATTGTTGGACTGCAAAACATAGTGGCCTTAGTGAATATAACTGAAAAGCTCAAAAGCCTAAAAGTGTTACTGACTGGAGAGCTCTTAAGAAAGGGGATTTGTCTGCCTGAGTGTGGAGCTGCTGTTTGCCTGTGCACACTCCTGGATATGCTGGCTTTCTAGGCACTAGCTGTGGTGGCACAAAAATCCTCCTAGAGAGCTTGGATTGAAGTGGAATATTCTCCTTAGGTGAAACGGGCCTTACACATGGCCAGACACAACTGGTCTATTGCCAGCATCAAGCTGGGGAAAGCTTACCCAGCCAGCCAGCTTAATTTCTCCCCCAGTCCTGGGAGCTCTGCAGCCTCAGTGGCCATGGCAGGGGTCTTCAGGATGAGTGAATGTGGTAGCTTGCAGTCTTGGGTAGGTAAGGGGCTGTCAGGGGGAAGAGGGGATGAAAAGAGGAGAATTAACTCTTGCTAAGCTGGAATCTAAAAGGTAACCACCTGGAATGCCCAGTTGTTGCAATTTAGTTTGCAGGTTTTCATTTCACACTCCCTGGTTTGCTCAAGGAGCTCTTGGCATATGTAATATGAAGATCCCCAAGTAGCATGATGCTTTTCAAGGCACCTGGGAATTCTTGAATTAAATTTGCTTGCTGCAGCTGCTGAAAATGGGGCTGGGTGAGAGTCAGAGTGCCTCTTATTAATTGGCTGGCACCATGCCTCCTCCAATTCTTCCTGTTCAGAAGCTTCCTAGGATATTACTGGGGGCATTGCAAGCAGTCTGGAGGAATTTGGTTTCCTAAGCAATGTGTGGGGGTTCCCAGCAAGATGGGCAGAGGCATTTCCATCAGAGCTGATTGTTCCCAGTGCTGCAGAGCAGGCTGAGTGGCACAACAGACACACTAGTTCCAGTAGAATAAGAATTAACTTATGATTAAAACCAACCTTGACAGCTTGGAGTCACTGACCCAGGAAAGTGCATATGATACCAACTTAGAGCAAGCTTCTTGTGAAGCCTCTACTCTATGTCTTGGCAAGGAGGCTGTAATTTCCTGGAGGGCATCGTTCAGGTGGGCATAGGCAGTGGCATTGCTGAGCGACAATTCAGAGGGGAAAACATGTCCAACAAAGAACAGTGGGGGACTCGCAGCCATCTGTCCTGACATCTTTGGAGGGTTTTTCCTTTTTTTGCTGCAAGACAATGGATCCAAATGCCAACTACCTTACTTCACATTAGCCAGTGACCTCAATGAAGTCACAGCCTTGGGTGGTTTGGTTGTGGGCAGATGCCACAAGGCTTTTGGGGTCCTTGTTTGGTCAAATTTTTTTCTTCCATGTATTCTTGCAGTGTAGAAAAAGCTCTGAAGTACTGCATTCGAAACTGAAAATGATTTTCATTGCTTGGAGATTCAAAGCAGCCTCCCCAAACCAGATCTTTGCTTAAAAAATAAAAAGCCTTTTAAGTTGCTTGTTTCTCTCTGTGTATTTTACACCCGTCCCAGGGCACTGCTCTAACATTAAAGAGAAATGAAAAGCCATCTAATACTGCAAGCAGGTTGCATCATGGAAGAAAGATCTAAGCTGTGCCGGTGGTTATGGTTTTGGGGGATAGTGGCAGAATAACTGTGCACTTAATGAGCTGGAACCCATCTGTGACCTGAGGCTGCAAGAGAAAGAGGAAGGAGAAGCTTTTGGTGCAGTAGGAAAGTTTAATCTTCATTGTTCCCCTCAAGGCAACCTGAGGCTGCTCTCTCCTCTGTACCTTCTCATACACAGGCTCAGGCCAGAACTCGGCCAGTGTAATATATTCCTGCCTTTCCCCTCCTCAGAGCAGGCTGAGTCTACATGCCAGACAGATCCCTGAAATTTGCACTGGGCCAGGCCCCAGACTCATTTGCTAAATTAACTTCCCGGGTTGTCACTTGGGATTAATTCCTGTCACGGAGACTGTCTAATGAGACTGGCCCTGTGCAATGCCTGACCGATTGTATGGTCTCTCTTTGTTTGTACTTCCATCCTCTCCATGTTGGATAAACATTCCCTGCTGTCTACAAAACTCATCTTGGCTTGGAAGCCGTCTGCCACTTGCTTCATCAGCCAGCCAGAGCAGCATTAATGAGAGCTGCAGCAGTGGGGAGCCTGCATACCATGTGGGGAGGTGACAGATAACAGAGCTGTTGGGACAGACATAGGACAGGGGTGTTGGCAGGAATTTAATGACTGTGATTAGAGTGGAAGGTTGACTCCACTGATGGCCATCCCAACACAGCAGGAGAGGTTTTATGCCGAGGCCCAGGGACAGTGGGTCTGTATCACTTCATTTCTGCCTCTGAGCTGGCAGTGTCTGTCTACTGAAGCCTGCAGGCTCCATCAGCTCCCAGAGCCGGCCACCCCTCTGAGGGCAGGGAAGTCTCTCCCTGCTGAGCTCTGAGCAGGGGTGGTACTGCACGAAAGGAAGGATGAACCAGCAGTGCACCCACCCACACTTTCCCATGAGTGTTTGCTTGAGAATGCCTTTGGGTCTCAGATTAGAAAAGGCTGTGACTTCAGAAAGGGGATGTACTTGGGCAGTGGTGGCTCTTGCAGCAGCCCAGGCACGTATCCTGGGAGGTGAACAAAATTCCTTTTCTTCTGCACATGCAACCATGGCTTCAGGCAAAGATTGGAAAATGAGCATCTGGGGATTGCCCGGGGGCTGTACCTTGGAGCAAGGGGTGGAGAAGGATGGGACACCAAAGGCTTGGTGAGGAGGCAGCTCTGCACAAGGCAGAGTTCAGGGTGGCCAAACTCGCTTTACAAAGGCTCTGACATTTTGCTGGCTCCACAGCACAATGCTGCCATTGCCATGGCAACTGCTGCAGACCAAGTTGGGTCCACAGCCCTCATCCCAAGGCTCTATGGTGCACTGTGGCCCACCGGCCCCTTCCTGTGCATTCTTACAGTAGTATTGCAGTGAGGTTTTCAGCTGGGGGATGCTGCAAGAGCTGAGGAGGTGATATCTGACTTAGGACTTAGCTAAAAAGCTGTCAGGGCTATGCTAGTTTTCCTACTAGAAAATGAAAAGCTTAAAGAAGAGTTGCAGCTTGTGAGCTAG